TTGTGCAGCAGCTTGTTTCTGCTTGGTGCCGACAGACTTCATCCTGTTGCCACAGGCCGGGGAGTTTCAGAAGCTTTGTGTGTGTGTGTGTGTGCGTGCTTGCTTGTAGCCGCCTTTTCCGCAAAAGGCATCCACAGTCAGTGGCACAGCGAATTACGGTGGAGGAAACCTGCAGTTCATTGGAAGCAGTGCTGCCGCTTTGATTGAATCATGATTCTTAGAGCTGCTTGTTCAAAATTCTTGTCAAAACAGTGGCGAGCAAGGCAATGCCAGTGAGTTGCGGGAGGCGGCTCAGCGCGCCACCGACCCAACTGAAAGCGTTGCCGCAGCTTCGAGCTGTGATACAATGGGCAATGCATGCTCAGTCCAACAAAACAGTTGACATTCGCGACATACGAGACTTTTCCCTGGCTCTTGCAGGCTTTGTGGTTTCTGCTGCAGGCTTTGTGGTGTCGTATGCCACCTCGGACTTTCGCATGAAGCGATTGGCAGTAAAGAAGTTCATGGCGCGCTATGAGCCGCCAAGGCCGAAGAGCAAAGTTGTTCACCGCGAGGCCATGACAGCCATCAAGAACCGCGTTCAGAACTGGAAGCAGGAGGAGCATGCGACCATCGTGAGTGGCCGCTACAAATCCGGGAAGACAGTGGCCGTGCAAGAGGCCTTGCGCGGTGCGCGCGGGGTGTGGGATTCACGGTCAAGGTGAAAAACTGGGAGCCCGTTTTGTACCAAGAGCTTGGCGTGAAGGACTCCAACATGTTTCATGAGGTGCTTCGTCGTGTCCGCGCCAAGTTGCAGAAGAAGAAGTTCGCAAAGAACTTGACCCAATATCCAATCCTGCTTCTGGACATTCCTCGTGACCTGGAAGGAGGCCTGTGTGCACTTGTTGAATCGCAGTGTTTGTCAGCAGCTGGTACATGTCGAGTGATTCGAGCTACAATGCACCGGCACATGTCCCTGCGCATTATAGTCAGTCCATGGAAGCAATTCTGTTTCCTGGTTGAGTCCCGCTTATCCTTGTCTTA